AACTCGATTTGACAAGACATAAAACTGTTTCATGCCTAACATTTATTCACTATGTTATCAAATGTGTTTTTGTGTGTATATATGTGTTTATACGGTTTAATATTTGTTTACTTGTTTTCTCTGAACATCTCTTGATTTTAAATAAATTCGAAAAGAAAACAAAATAGCTACTCCTCTGATTATTGTCTTTATCAGTACAGTCATCATGTAGAATGGAGAAGAATTTTTGTTTATATACCTATCCGATGGTTTGCACGAACGGTTTTGTTGTTTTCCTAAAAACAATCTTTCTTGTGTTGAAAAAAAACAACTAATTAAAATGTCACAGTTTACAGCAATAAAATAAAACACGTAAACTATAAGCATGATATTGTTGTCGTTCTTACAGTTGACCTAGTCTAGAATTTAAAGGTGACCTAGCATGGGATGTACTGAAGAATCATCTATGCAGACCAATCAATAAAACTTTCTTCTCAGCAAGACTTCAGTCGACTTTTATCAGCCACAACCTGTTCTCCGTTTGTGTTAAAGATAATCTTCCTCGTTTGGCAGCCTCTATGTGCATCTACCAGTTCACCTGCTCTTGTGGAGAAGGTACATTGGCCGTAGCCAGAGAATGCTTTCTACACGTATACGAGAACATATTCCTGCTTGGTTTTATAAAGGTGAAAGAAAGTCTCTTAGAAGTTCGTTTCTAGAATATTTGATTGATTTCCATCACTCAACAAATTCAGACAATGACTTTAAAATTATTTATTAAATTCCTCCAAACCTCCTACGTTTTCTCGTTTTCAACTTCTTAACACAGCAGAGGCTTTAGCCATTCATGAACTAAAACCTGATTGTGTGTACAAAAGAAGTATATGCAGTCACTGTTTTTATCATGGCCATAACATTTTCCCATCCCATTAGCTTCCCCCCCCCTTTTTTAATTTAACCTTTGTATCCTTCCTTTATCACTATTATTGTAATTATAACTGCCTTCACTTTGATTAGTTTCCGGTGTTATTTCACTTAGTTGTCTTAATCCTTTTAGAAAACACTGATTTCATCTTGACCAACTTGTCGTATCCTACTACACAATACTTAATTGATTTGCCACTTTCATCAATTTTTCCACCCCCTTCTGAGTTATGTACATCTTAGGAACCATTCCATATATTACGTAATCTACTTTGTGATCATAATCACAAATGCCTATGTCATCATCCGCCCTGTTATTATTGTCATCATCATCATGATCATCATATAGTGTTTAGCTTTCCTCACGGGATATAATTTTTCAGATATCAAATATATACGATTGTGCAGCTTGAAAATGAATTCGTTGAAAAGACTCTTCGCTGAATATCTTGTTCTAGGCATATTCCACTAATGAATACCAGTAGCTTGAAAACGTTACTTTAGTAAGTAACAGTAACTATGTGGAAAGAATTCAGGGTACTGATTCAGATGATGTTTCACTAAACATCAGTTTAAGGACTTAACTAGTAACCCTTCGCCAGTGTGTTTCGGGTTCGAACACCGGTCTGCTTACCGAGGTATCTGCAGCCAGGTGGTTTCATAAGCCGTCACATAATAGGTGTGGCTCATCACCTACTGCATAGATGTTCACAAGGTTGCTTGGTGCGATTCATTTTTCCTCTCATTCCAAACAAATGATAGAAGTTACATACAAAGGTTAGTTTATTCAGTACATTATTCAGGTAAACAGTATTATTAATCGATAACATTTCTTACACAATTTATTGTTCATGGCTAAAGCAAATAAACTGCACAACTTCGAGTTGGGCTTGATTAAATGTTCCTATCCCTCTTATAGCTCTGTTGTAAGACTGGGTAAAAGATTTCCAAATATCAGGAATATGTGTTGAGCGAACCTCAGTATAAATGCTTCTTGTTGACAAAGTGATCAAGGCTTTAGCTATCAGTTTCTTGATATCTTCCTGAGTTATTTTTAAAGACTAACATTTTACCACATACTTTGGGATATATGGTACATAATATGATCATGACTTGACCGAATAATATCGTAAATATCGCGAGCAGAATAAAAAGGTGACAGTAGATATGGTTTATATTTATGCATGTTACGCTGTTTGAAACATGTCAAAGAATATATATATATATATATATATATATATATATATATATATATATATATATATATATACTTTTGATTATTTCTCTGACCAAACTTCTGCAAGAAACATTGGAATTATTTTATTTCAAACATAATGCGACTTACACAGATAAACATTGGGATAGTTCTGTGCGACAGAAAATACAACTACTGGTGAGGTATTTTCTGGATTTTTGAAATAATTAACATCCTCCACTCTAGATATAGCTAGCAATTCATATCACTCTAGATAATTTTGGGCTGTCTCACTTACTGGAATGTTTGCACTTGATCTTAAAATTCTTGCTTGGAATTGTGTACATTGAATTGTTTTGTTCAAGTGGTTAAATAAGATCCACAAATCGACAACAATTTCCTCTAAGTAAGCTGATAACTACAAATATCACTCTAATACAACCCTTATTGAGAACCTTAAGTGGAGTTTCTAAAGACCTTTCCTTGTACGACAACCCTATAGACATTTTAAGCAGTCTCTTCTTAGTGCTTTTCTTATTTTACATAGGATCGGTATGCATGTGACAGTTAATAATCATGCCTTTGTTTATGACAATTGAGTACATATTTTTGTTTTGTGTAGCTGACTTATTGTTGTATTTATTTGAAGATTTCACGCAATCCTCCCGCTCTGTTGCTTAAATACTTGGTTACATTTGATTTTGATGACCTATGACTGGCTGAGGTAAGGTTTAAGCATCATACGAAGTGAGAATAATCCTATAAACTTCAGTAACTAAGCTTTTATCCGGTTTCGCAATGTAGAATAGCTCTGCTCCATCACTAAATAATTCATATATGGTTCAGAAAGAAATTGTGAAGTGAAATTGTGTTTAGCAAATCAACACCAAACATATATGGTACGAATGGTTCAATGCTTACTTCTGATATCTGGAAACATTTTTACTAGCCTTATCATGAAACAATTGGTAGGACTGGAACATTGAATTATGCACAACTTGAAATTGTGCGATTGCCTTGTCATAACTACGAGCAATAAATTATTTAGGAAGTCTCACCGAGAAGACACCACTTTTTTAATGAGTTTTACGCTTGACAAACTAACAGACATATTACATACATAGCCGGTAAACAGTAGTTCTGACTGTTTGTTTAATGCTGTATGCCTAAGTGGGCCTGAATGCTCTCAACTTCCTCGCAAATATTCAAATTGAGATTCATTCGTTCGAAAATCTGCGAACATTGAGTGCAACTCATTGGTTCCATGTTTTGTTTTCTAGGGAATCGGAAAACCAAAACATTTACTTAAAAGTTTTTCTCTTTAGTGGGAATACCCTTACTCAGACCAACAGTAAACTAGAAAATACACTATGAATACTTCTGTATGATAACTTGATGAAAGATGGAGGTTGGCTTAGGTAGTCGTATTCACTACTGCTCAGTTAAGCTGCTTCACAGAGTATCCCTTTCCGGTTATGCGCAGTCTTTCAATTAAAATGGTGGCTAGCAGCCATTATGCATCTTCAACAGATAATTGAGATACAGGCAGTATCTGGGCATCCTCACAGAAGCCCACATGCCAATGGAGACCTATCGACTGGGTCGAATGTAAAAAGAAATCGTGAGCTAACAGAAGTTGGAAATATGGAGCATTGGATTCTGACCCAGTGGATCAATGGTAACGCACTGGCCACGAGATCTGAAGGTCGCGGGTTCGACCCCTGGCGGGGTTGTGGGTGCGCACTGCTGAAAAGTCTCGTACTAGGACGAAACAGATGTCCAGTGCTCCCAGGTTTCCTTTGTTCCTCCAACTGATATCAGTCTACGATGAATAACAACTTAAAACGAAATAGTTAAAGTGCCAACATTAAAGTTTACTACTTACACTTAACGAGTAGCTACAAAACTAGGCCTGAAAATGTCTGCTAGTGCCAGCGGCTGATTGTCAAAAATACTTGACTTGCTTAAATAGTTAACTTCATACTGAATCTATGTGTGTTCCATTAGCCAAATGCGTCAAACTTTTGCATCATAGTGCTTCAAACAGCCATGATATTAATGTTCTCATTTTATCAAAATGAAGCAATCATAACCGAACCACTTTTGCAGTTGATATCGGAATGTAGGTCCTAGTAACTCATTACTAGTTTCACATCAGCATTATAATCGTTAAATATGAGTAAAGAGGTAATCATATCGTTTCTAGTTTTAAGGGCTTTATTAACTGCTTGGCAAATAAATTCCCGCCTTTAAAATGGTCTCAATGAATCACTGCTTATCGACTGTTTGATCATTAAATGATTAAAATCCTTATATTATATGTAATTGTAAAGTTAAGTGTCCCTGTTTCAAATGCTCCGAGGTATCTACATTCCTGCATATATAATCAAACCATGTGACGTGTATCAGAGTGAAAAAAAGCCTAGTGTTTTCAAACAAGTGTCCTTCAAAATAACAATAATTCAACTGTAAATGACCTTATGCTTTTTATTTCTCAAAAACACATTGCTTCCAACCTTAGTTGTTGTAATCTAAAAGAACGTAGGACTAGAAACGCTGACTTATCAGTGTTACAAAATATTAGTTATTGTGGTCATAAGATTACTTGTGGAGGGTCCAGCTATGTAAACGCATATCAAATAGGATCTACTATGATACAGAACTGTAAAGTTAACTTTAAAGGTTTTGACTCTGTCTTACGAACACAATGTCAGTAACGTATTAACTTCAAGCTTTAATCATCTAGCGACTACAATTTTTAACTGCACTTAATCCTCATAACGACTACTATTACGAATGAGTAGCCGGTTAAATTAATTCATTTTTCAATTTACTTGAAGCTACTTTCCATCCTTTGTTTATTCAGAATATAATACCACACATTATCATTTTGTTCTTTCAGATTTTATATGAAGTTGTTTCACACTCTACCATTTGTTTAATGACACATGAAAGGCAGCAAACTTTGTGTTTGATTCAGATGTTCTTAAGAGATGTAACTGAAAGGCAACAAAACCAACATCAACGGCTAAGAGAGAGTCAACAATCAATTGTACATTTACAAGAATTTTCATCGAAGAATTGGGCTTTAGATAAGGTGAGCTGCTAGATATCTTACGGTATTGTTTTTTCTCATAAATTTCAATAGCAGTGAATAGAAAAGTAAACATTTCTGTGTTAGACTGGTAATATTATTAACATACTTACTCGATGACTTTTGATTAGTTTTTATTTCTCTAATTACACCAAGGTAATAATACAACTTTCAAACTTCCCTTTTATAGTCCAGCATTGCTTCAGTCTTTTAATGCAATGATAGTAAAGTTGTCCAAGTATATAAAATTCATGAATATGTAATGAATCGTTTCTGTTATATGTATAAGTTGCTGAATCAGTGCCAAAGTTTACGCAACCAATCTTTCTTTTCACCAAACTATATTGGATTTCAGGAATGTTGTCCCGTACTACTCACCCTAGGCTCCCCACCAATAGCTTTTAGCTTGATATGGTGGTCTGGACTGCAAATGGAAATCCTCCATTGAGCTACGTGGTTGAAATGCTTGTTCTCTTGATGTCCTCCCAAGTCAGAAAGGTCTGCTGGATAACAGTGGGACACAAACCAGTTATCGTTATTGTACAAATCACTACGCGATGATAAGAATCAGAGCGTGAATTTCTATTTCTTGCCAGACGGGATGTGACAGCAGCAACGGGTTTCCTGCAGATGAACAGCGGTACAGTACTGACACTACCTTGTCTTCCGGAAAGCGGGTGGAAAACCGTAAAAGGTCGGCCCCAAAAACAGCATAGCCGCCTTTCCCCTAGAGCTTTCTGGTGCAAGCAGAATAGGTTGATTTGTTCGGCTTACGAACCATGAAGTGACAACCCAACAATCGAAAAAATGTCGCTGGTGACAGTCCTCAAGCAAATCTCCCACGGGTTCTAAGCTCACATAAATACTCTCCTTTTTCTCCTTCAAGCACCCTGTAAAAGTATCTTCCTAGGGTATCGTAGACCGGAAAGTGCCTACCAACTGCACTATCCCAGTAGTACACAAAACCCAATAAAAACTAGTCACCCTCCTCATCTTTATCTCCTCCTCCAACATCTGATGCCAATATTAAACCACTTAGAACCTTCTCGACCTTTTACTCTGTGACTATTTCAAAACATCGGAGCCAGTGAAACATCATTTACAGTCACCTAAGACCCCGCGGTGGGTTTCGCATATGAGCTTTCAGTGTCCAAATCCTAGGTTGATGCGGACAGCGGCCTTTCTCTTCACATAACTCTGGAGTCTGGAGCCATGGATGTATTGTGTGTTCCTAAGACACATATAAAGACTGAAATGTGGTTAGTAACCTAACTTCATCTAGAAGCTGCGGTTAATCCTCAAAATTCACCTTGCGAATATCAGAATATTCATTGGTTATCTCTTTTGAACTCTGTGATATCGACATATCATTAAGTTCTGGTTCGAAAAGTGCACTTCTAGACTAAATACCAGTCAATAGGCGTATGTGTGCTGTTCGACTAAATGGATCTGTAAGAACTGGGTAGGGTCGTGACACTTACCGATGGCTATTCGTAATTTCTACCTACGCAACCAGTGACTGCAGTTTGGAAGATGCGAAGAATGAATTCAATTAAAACGTGTCACTTTTCCCAATAAACCAAAAGGTTCAGATAGTCATCATAACAGACGACTTCGATACTCAAGTAGGAAAGCTGACTGAGCTAATCAGAAAGGCATCTTGGAAGTAACTATGGTATACATTGTCATGAGTCGACAACAGTGATCACCTCCCGCAACTTTGTTCAGACGTTTGCTTGTTTCTGACCAGCACTTACACCACGCATAAGGAGAAACACTGTTTCACTTGGCATCCGCCAACAACAGACCAACGATGGATGCAAATAGGTTGAATTACTGTAAGCCCTTGTTGGAGAGTATCAGTTGAGAATTGTCACTTTTTCTAGAGTACCTGGCACTGGAACGTATAGGTTTGGACCCTTCCAATTGCAGAAAGCAGTTAGCAGTGAATCTTGTGTGTGCTAGATTGGTAGATGAGAACGCCAAATGTTTACACAGAGGAAGATAGTTGTTCATTTATAAAACCATGTGAGAAGCTCTCACCCCAGTAAAGCCTGATGCAATATTCAGTATATTGTAGAAACAGTAGTAAAGACAGTTGGTAACCTACATCCAAAGTTTAGCAAACGTCAGCGGATTTCCGCAACCTCATCCGAATCGACTACTGCGAGAAGGCTGATTCCAGCTGGCTCTGAATGCAACAAACAACGGAAGCAGCTCAAATGTAGACTAACCAAGAGTTTTCGCAATGATGTCAGGCAGTAAAAGAGATGGAGAAGGCATCAGAAATGGTTAGTATCTGGTATTTACTTAAGTTCACTGACTGTATCTGCAAGAAGGAGAGAACGATAGTGAGTAAGACCACTACGTAAAAGGATGGGCTCCTGATAACCTCCCAAGACAAGCCACTACAGCTCTAGGTGCAACACTTGGAAGGACAGTTCAACTGGCTTAAACATTCAGCTTGAACCTAATTGGAATACAGGTTTCAGTCTTCAAACTCTCTTGGAAATTGAGAAGGCTATTTCCAACCTGAAGTAATGTGAAGCAGCAGAAACCGTCTGTTTGTCATCAGACGTTTTTTAGGATGAATGTAAGAAATTGCTGATTAAAATAACAGAGGTACTAGTTAATGTATCGGAATCAGAGGTAGTCCCGTTAGATTGGTCTATTTGACTGATCATTCCTGTCTGTAGGAAAAGAGAATAGTCTTCTTGTGACAATAATAGGAGCATCAGTTTGAATAATAATTTGTCTAAGAATTTTGGTTCCATAGTTATCTGACGCCTCTTTGGAGCTCAAGAACAGAAAACTAAAAGATACCAGGCAAGCTTTACACCTGGATGAGGCTCCATTGATCAGATCTTAACACTTCGTCAGGTTATAGAACAGAAGTATATTTACTGGTAACCAACACATGATACGTTTTCTGAACCTCAAAGCGACATTTAGCTCTGCTAACCGTGAGGTGCTGTGGTAAAACTTTGAATGTAAAGGAGGTACACAGCAAATATATAACGCTAACCAAAGCTCTCTACTCAAACTCATGCAGACGTGTAAGAGCCTAGGGGATGTTTTTGTCTTCATTGATGAAAACTAGTGGTGTCCGCCGAACATTCCCTTCTATCACTATTCCTGGTTAACTTCATTATAGACATATTATGGAAACCTCCGGATTAAAAAGAATCTACCTATTCCCTGGCAGCTATCAGGCTGACCTGGAGTACACAGACGACATTGTCCTGCCAGTTACAAATGCTGATAAAAACCGCGGGATCTTTTGAACCTGATGAGCAGAAATATAAGAATATTTGCAATGCATTCCGCAAGTGTCAAACTTAAGATGATGCTCAAGCACTGGTCTGCAGCCCCTCCTAGATTAATGATAGAGAGTGAAGTGGTTGGATCTGTCAATCACTTCACTTACCTGAGCAGGTGCCTCAGCCCAAACATACTGGATCCTGAAGAACTCTGACCTTGAGTATAGATGACCCGTTAAACATTTTTCAACCTGCATAATCCGTGGCACTAACTGGCGAGATGTTCAACTACCTAATACAGAACGGATATACTGGGCTACAGTCCATTCTGTCCCTCTTTATGGCTGTGAGACGTGGCCTTTAAAAGTAGAAGACATGAAATGGTTTCAGGTTTTCGATCAGAGGTGTCTTCGTAACATTGCTTGGGTAGGGTGGAATCACTATGTGGGCAATGTAGAGGTCAGGGGAAGGGTAGGAGACAAAGAAGGCAAGTAAGTCGATGGGGTTGTGAATTTTCAGAGACTGATGTACATTGAACATGTGCTGCACATGCTGATCCCTCATGTAACTTGACGTGTAGTTTTAGTCGAATGTGAAGCACATTGAAGAAAGGCTCAAGGTAGACACGCAATCGCGAAATCGAAGGGAAATAACATATAAACAGATTTAACACTAGGCACAAAATAATGAACTTAAATTATGTATATCTGCTTGTTTAAAGGAACATGGACTCACTGTTATGTGATGAATACCTTGAAACCTAAGATAGTGATTATTTAACAATACTGGGTGATTATTGACGGCAAAATGAAAATTTGGACCACGGCCGGGCTCGAACCAGTGGCCGTTGGGTTTCTGATCCGATACTCTACCAACTGAGATACGAGATCCGACTTCTGACTAGATTTTCATTTCACTCCAATCGCCATGAGTTTTGCCTGACTAATATGTGAATTCTTGGTGTATTATCATCACCTGATAGTATTCACACTGACTGTCTAGTCATGACTGCTCACGGTAGTCGGGAAAAACCCATGGTGATCGAGGTAAAATAAAAATCTGGTCGGTAGTCGGACGTCGTGGCTCAGTTGGTAGAGGACTGGCCAGGGGACTCGGTGGTCGGTGGTACGAGTCCTGCCATGATTCAGATCTTAATCTAACCTTCAATCATCACCTAGTATCAGTACTAGTCTGCCAAACCACGGCTATCTAAGATAGTTGAAGTGGTTATTTATGACTTTAAAAATCCTGAAACCAATAATATAACATAATAGTAGTTTCCTTATAGTAGCAAAAACAAAAAAAGTTTTAGTTGATAAACTTTACTTAATAATGAGAAATACAGCACTCCATTGTACAAAACGCAATGTGTAGTTTATGTACAGTCATTTAGTTCAATAGAAGTGGTGTTATAGTTATATTACTGTGAACTGAGTAAGTAGAAATATTCAACTGATAATGTCTACCTTAAATACACACTGGAATGATTGATGGAACTGCGACTTAGCTAACCACCTTCAAACTATTTTATCATTCTTACAGATCTGTGATTATTCTGTCAACCAAGTGAATAAAACCAAAAGACAAAAATGTAGGTTGGATGTGTATATATTGCAGTAAAAATAGGAACGAGATAGGAAGATCAATTAAATCAAAATAATATGACCTTCAGTTAAGGTTGGCAGGTGGTTGAGAAACTTCCACCAATGAACATAAAGCAATACTTCAATCCACTATAACATGTAGATATACTTCTCAGATACTTCTTACTTTCATGGTTCAGTCTAAATAACGGGTTATAAGTAACAAAGATTTCGATAAACCAAGGGTTACAATTACCAATCGGCTACAGACTCAGTTATCTGTATGTAAGAATTTCATTAAAATTTGTAAATTCAATTTGGGGATTTGCGGCGATTTATTTATTGATTTCACGTTGGTATTCAGCATGAATTGACATCAGTTGTTAGAACATTGAAAACCTGGAAGCAATAAACAACTGTTTCCGCCTAGCACGGGACTTCCTAGCAGTGTGCACCCATGATCCCACACCTCCAGGGATCGAACCCAGGACCTCCAGGCTCCGTGACCAACACGTCACAATTGAGCTACTCGGTCGGAATCCAGTGGTTCAAATCTTCTACTTATATGTGTTCACATTATAGAGTGACCTCTATTCAGTGTCGTAGTTAAGTAACTGTCCTCATATCGGCCCCATCGGTCACGAATTCTCATTGTAAAATTTAGCCTATGAAGACTCTGTATAAATAAGAATTTAAAAGCATTCAACCATGATTATCTGAAGCCCTGTACATATTTACATGTCAAAGTATATCTGTGAATCTGTTCTAGTCTATGAGATTAAGACTGTTATTATGCAATATGAAACTTAGTTTCGTGAGGTTAAACTAATGACTGATTTTTAAGCTAAGATCATCTAATATTTGAATCACTTTTTCCAATGAATTTTATTTCCACTTTCAAGGTCTTCTATGGGACTAATTACTTTCCGAAACAAATGTATTCAGTAAGCGAAGAAAATGCAGTGTACGACTCAATTACAAAACGTAATCCTACAAGGTTAGAAACATCAAAGCAGTTAAGCGCGAAAAACAATTCAGCAATTTCTAAGTCAACTCCATCAAAAGTGAAGTCCAACCAAGCGAAACTAGAAAAGTACAAGAAGACACTGTTGATGGAGACAGTGATCAATCAACTCGTGAAAATAAACCAAATCACAGTCATTTATCCGAACAACTGGAAGTTGAAAAAAACTGTCAGAAAGTTGTAGATGTTGCTGAAGACTCTACAGTGAAAATTAAATACACCTTGAAAGGTGTCGAAAATCAAACTCATAGGTTGGAAGCTACTAAAAAAGTTGAAGATGAGGTAGATACTCATCAAGATGATAACAATGAAGTTAACTGTGTAAACACTGAAGAGAATTCTACTCCAAATGATATATTATCAAAGAACTGTTTACCTTGCATACACCACCTTCCCTATCCTCAATTCCCTCATTATCAGCATAGTGATTATCATTATCCTCATCAGCATATCAATGAAATATATTACACACCACAACTTGTGACTTATTTTCCGCCAGTGACTATTTACTTCCTTCATCCATGAATAATAGTCAATCATTCTGTTCAGTTCCTTATGATGGTATCAATTACAACCACCAATCAACTAATGTTCTCTCGAATAATCTTCCACATTATCATGCAAAAATAATTTTGCCACAGAACACTGAACCACAGACCACGCTAACTGATACACGACATTATGTTGGTGTACCGTGTTCTTATCCATCGATAACCTATCCAAACTATTGTACAAATGGTAGTTATAACAATGATCCAGTACAGACAAGGGGTAATGATGTATTAGCCTTTTTTGAACCATTTGTTTTTTTCTCACCAACAAATCAAAATTACTATGTATACCCAACAACTTCGATGCCTGATATACAACAGCACAATCTCCCAGCAATGTATAATTACATAATATGAGAATTTAGTGGATTTCAGAAAGATATTTCAACAATTTAGCTCCTCTCTTTTTTCCGACAAGAAAAAACCCCTGGTTGTTTACTTGTCTACATTTCACTCTCCATAAAGAAGAAATAATTCAGATGACTGGTCAAAATAAGGCAGCTTCAATACAGTGAAATGTGAACACTTATCAAGTCAGTCATAGACATCAGCTTCTCTGTATACAAGTATGGTAGACGAGACATTGAACATTGAGTAGTAATTAACTGCCTAATTTTGTTTGTATGTTAATTACTTGATCAATTCGTTCATACATTTTGAGTTCAGTTTCTTCACCCTATACGTTATTCACTTGTAAAAGGCATGCATAGATATTCGCCAATTTCCAGATTATTTAAGATAGTTCTATAAGTTTCTTCTACTGAATTTCAACAGTCATCTGGTAATTTGTTTTAGAATTATTTACTCAAATCTAGTCACTAATCAGCTGAATTGCATCTGCTTATAACTTTGGTTCAGTCAATTGTTCAACTTGGTTTTCCCATTATTCTATTCGACATTCTATTCTGTTGTATTCTAATCTTTCTATATGATATCATTATGTTTGAGCTGGATCATCTCGTGTTTTGCGACTATACAATATACTGCTAAATTAATTTCGCCCAACAACATTTAACAATATTGTCAAATATAATAAGATATATTTATTGCAAACTTTTCAAATGTATTGAACATAAATCACTGTCAAAGTGGCATTCATTAATGAATAAACTAATTTATCACTGTTGTCGTTCAGTCCAGATGTTCATGAATTCCATTATTACCATTTATTTTTGCTGTAATACATATATATATATATATATATATATATATATATATATATATATACTGAAGCTCACTTTGTCCTTCATGGCAAAATGTCTATGTAAACGCGTATATCCGTGTATGTGTGTATTTTAATGCTTTGTTTTTTGACTAGATTGATATTAAAGAAATAATAAAGATGTTTATCATGAATATTTCCGAAATTCTTAGCTTAAAGTGAGAATAGCACAACTAGTTAATTGTAAGTCACTTTAAAGATTCCATTACAATTTATCTTACTTGGAAACTCCAGTTACACTGAATATAATCATAATGTAGCACTAAAGTATTATTCAATTTCGGGATAAAATACGATTCTTAGATAGGAAAATACTTATGTTACAGTCTGTAACACGATGGAACTGAAGAGTAAAGTGTTGGGTTTGACAAGGTTGAAATTCCTCCCGAATGTGAGACAAGTTAGTTCAATGTTCAGTTACTTGGTGCAAAAATGGTGAAAAAAATGACCCAATTAGTCTCAACTGTGGTAGAAAAGCAGAGGAGTGCTTAAGATTTATCCGAAAATAATACGGACGTAATGAGCAATCAGTTAGTCACAATCAACATCGGAGTTGCTATTACTGCGTAACTATCCAAGCTCCCACAACTCACATCAGCACACCGAGTGAGCATACACTAATATAAATAATAATATTTATTGTAACGATCATTTTATTCAAAGCAGTAACTTTCCATACAGTCTGGAATTCCTAGTATGATGTTTCAAGAAATTTACTTCTTTCATAATATTTACAAATTAATAAAAATGTATCAGTTGAACAATGTTATTAATAGTAGTATCAGGAGCAGTAATATACAACAACCATTGCTTTTTAAGTCGTCATCTACCTTCTATGTTGTTGCACTTTGGTCGGACAGAAAAGCATACTTAGATTTAGAGGAGATTCACTTATCCAGTTTACAAATTTGTTGTTCCAGCCAGGTGTTCCTGTAGTGGCTATATCATAAATTATTGAGCGTTCAAGGTTAACTGCCATATAGTTTGAATTTTTTCCGTAGTACTTTTATTAACTCGTTTAACGATAGGTTGAAGATATTTTGGGAGTTTGTTTCCAACGGTTACAAGCTGGATTATATAGCTTTGTAGATCCTAGAGGGGAAATTTTCCACTGATACGCCTTTGTTCTATAGCTTAATATGGGAATTCTCCGTTCAAATACAATTTCACTCTGATATACAACTGGAAAGTAAGCACTGAAGTCACATATAGTAAGCTATTTCCTATACAAAGGTTAAAGTAAAACGATGTTCAGTGATTTCTTCATCATGCTGAAAATATTAGTGAAGTGAAAAAGTAACAAGACCAAAAATATCTAAGTTACTACCTAATTTCATACATGTCTAACCCTGACATTGAGAAGTATGCGAATGATACCAATGTTATAAACTTGTCAAAATGCTAAGAAGTGTATAATGATTAGTCAGTGGAGATTAACCAATTTCATATTCAACCTTCATCTGAATAGCTTAGTGGTAATGTCTACAGTACTTTGTGACATAGGTTTTGATCTTTGAGTAGGCGTCAGTTCTCGAAGGTTGCAGATGCGCGTTGCTGATAACTGACAACTAGCACGGAACATGTATCCACAACTTCCTTTCGAGAACCTTCAATCATTTAATTCCAAGTTAAGAATTTGCTTTCAATAGTAGTTGGTAAGAATCATCGAATTGCTGCAAAGTTCGTCCTTACAACTGTTTTATTAACAGTTTGGGTTAATAGTGTATAAGGAAGGATAAAAAATTAACCACATTTCGGCTTTTGACGATGAAACATGCCAATTGAGTCATAAAGAAAAGAGGTAATCCAGCGTAGAAAATTTTCTTTTTCGACGATATCATTTCCTAGAGCTGTACAATCGTATTTATAAATGTCACAAATATATAACAGTTTATTATTAAACCATAGTGTATAATGGTATTATTAAGCTACTGCTTAAAAACGAAATCGAAAATCAAAAGCAGTCGCATAATAATCTTTTAGGCAGTGGAAATAACGAGGAGGGCAAATAAAGATTGAACATACTTCTTTTGGACACAGAGGTCAGGCTCGAACTGATGAATTGCTTGTGCTTCCGCTGCGCGCAACTGTCGAAGGCATACTCCATTTGAACTATTCCATTTGACACCATAAATGACACTGAAGGAGGATTCTGGTCGAGATTTATGTCCAGAGTTGACTAAGTGTTCAAGAATTGAACTGTTAACTGATTTACCCTTTCCCCTCGACAACCATGCAGCATAGTGCTCTGAGATACGTTTGGAAAGTGTGCTCTCCGTGCGGCCTATATATAACTAACTCCACAGGAACAAGTAAATTTGTAGACACATATCGAGCTGGCCCAAAGTGGCAACTTGTCCTTAACGCACTCCGGAATCAGTTGCTGACTAAAGTAGCTGGTCTGTAGCTTCGAAGAGAAGAATGTCTTCTTCAGTGATCTGAAGAGCCGATTCGTTAGGATCTTTGCTGCCGTATCACGTTTGAAACCAAAGTTCATAAACAAGGTCTTGTTAGGAACTGTGAGTACTTGCTCCGTATCCTGTTTTAATTTCGAGTTCTTCTCAATAAATCTGGATGGGTATCCATTTTGCATGAGAATCTTCCATAGTTTATTTAATTCATCGTCAATAGTATCAATCGGATAGATTCTTCTGATTCTTGAAAATAAAAAATGGGTCAGATTTCTTTTTCTGCTACTGTTAATACTACTTATTTGGTAGTTTATAATTTGTCAAAATCATAAATCGATATCCAGGGTTACTTTAATTAGTGTTCAAGTCTCCCAAACTCAGTGAATGTATGTTTTCGTTGGTTTCGTTATTTGGTCAAACTGACTAGACGTTATGCTGGAATCACAATTACCAAATAAGAAATTATAAAACAAAGCTTAGCTGAATGTCTCTTTAGTTTTTTATCAGCTGTATTAGTCACTGGAGTGCAACCAATTTCATGTTGTCTAGTCCTATCGATCATATTTGCAATGTGGCCACCAAGCCAGGGGGCTCAGCATCGCGTTTCACACTAGTAGATGGTAGCTGGTCAGAGGCAATCGATACGAAGCCCTAAACTTACCTGTCGTGCTTGTTGGCACTCGTTAGCAAGGCGAATCTGAAACCCGGACATAACTTATGTCTCGCCTGAGATTCGAACCCACGTCACCCAGTGTTGTAGTTAGCCACTTTACCATTGAGCTATGGAAGAGAAGCCGAAATGGTGATAAAGATATATTTGTACGTTTCAGGGAGTGTTGAGTACAATTAACACGTTTAACTTCTGATTTCTTTTGAATGTTAGATGACCAACCAATTCCTTATATGATCGCTGAAACTCTGTATTTCAATGTATGCTTAATCAAGATAGTTTATTCCTATTAGATGGAGAAATACTAATAAAGATAATCTCTCTGTAAAAGTAATAAACTTCTTCTAACTGACTGTTTAGACTGAGTTCATAGGCTCTTATTAGATTTAGAAGTGGTATTCACCATACCACTTGCGACATTTGATTTTTATAGTTATGTCACCTTACATGGGTTGTTTTTATTGGTAGCAAAATCTCCCACATCTCTGGTCTAGGTGTTACGTCATTTCTACTACATGTGCTGCGTGTTGATTCGATGATTCAGTAATCAATCTCTGTCTCCACCTAATAATATTGGACTTAAGTACAGTGGCTTCATCCCGCCCTATTGTATAGTTGTGTATTAATGCATACATAGCGGTAGCCGAGTTTTATTCTAGATTATTGATCTTATTTAAGTCTGTTATTCTATGTTTTATAACGGACCTAAATAAGATCAATAATCTAGAAAAAACTCGGCTATTGCTATGCATTACATTGATATGATTATGAGCAATAATTTATGCTGGAAACGTCATCAGGTAAATAATACTAGATCACCGTGTATTATAAATCAAATAAACAAATGTAATATGGAATTAAATTCGACCACAGTGCCAAAGTTTTTCACCTATAGTCATAAGCTCTTACCGACATATAAGCTGATTTGTTCGGAGCATTCCAAAACAGCATCTGATTACATTTTGAAATTATTTGGCAATAACTGGTAGTGGAATGCATGACGCTTGTCTCATCCTATTTTGGTAGCTTTGGTAGCATTTTTCTGTATTTGTATTGGGGTTTCATTAGATCTCATAATCAGCACTCATGTCCTCAAGACATAGAGTGCCAGGTGCCATATCAATACTGACTAACTACTATGTTCTTGAAAATAACCAATAGTCTGTGAACAAGGCGTCGAAGATATAAAATTGTAGCATGACGGATATAGCCACCTTGTTATAAGAATTGAAAGATGGCCCCAAGTATTAGTGGACGTATTTAGAAGGATGCAGGTAAGTCTAGCTAACAAAACCACAACAAAACGCACTGTTTGTCAATATCAAAGTATGTGGCAAACAGACTTGGTCTTATGTTTCCAATCAATCACAGTGAATACAGTATTTTGCACAATATATATGGTTTAGCTGGTTAATTTATAAATGATAAATTACCACTTTGGGCCACCCTATATGCGTTTCCCAATTCATTTGCTCAAGTGGCGTTAGTTACACAGGCTACACGATGAGTCTCTTATCAAAATGCATCTGCAAAAAGTAACCTGCTTGGCTGTCTAAACGAGAGTGCAAAGAGAGCAACAACTCGTTTCTTAAGTATCTGGTTAACTATGCTGCACCAGAATCTGACTTCAAAGTTCTTTATCGAGTGAAATTAAAACATTTCAGAGGAGGTACAGGTTCACCAGCTGAACACAGAAGAAGGTTTTGCGATTTATCTGTTCAAGTCTGATCTCTTACTTCAAAAGAGATGCATTGAATTTCTAATTTTACCTTGGACTTAATCTCCCTAGTACATTTTATCTGTTCAGTTATCATTTGTTTCCTTGTTTGTTGACGTATTTTATTTACCAACA